AGCATGGGGTATTGTTACCAAAACATTTGCTTTTACAAACCACACTATACTTCCTGAAGCTATGGAGAAATGGCAAGTTCCTATGGTTTCACGAATTTTACCAAGACATATGCAAATTATATTTGATATAAATCTTGTAAGGAAAAAGACATCTACTTATTGAATCATTATAATTGATTATTTGATTTATTGACTACTCATGATTTAATTTACTTTATAGTTCTTTTTACAAGAAGTTGAAAGAAGATTTCCAAAAGAACGAGATCTTCTAGCCAAGTTATCAATTATTGAAGAAGCATCCCCACAATTTGTTAGGTTAGTTGATAATTATAATATTATCATTATTAAAATAATGGTTTCATATGCTATGTATTAAAACTAATTTAAATGTTTTTTTGGTTGAAATGTTTTAATTAAACAGAATGGCACATCTTGCTATTGTCGGTATGTTAATAATTATTTCAAATTATTTTTACCAAATCGTAATAATGCTATCATATTTATTTTTATTATATGAAAATTGGTAGGCTCACATCGTGTTAACGGAGTCGCTGAACTTCATTCAAGATTGATCAAGGAAACGGTAAAATCTATTCATTATAATAATCGTTTATAAATTTATAAATTTATTATTTTTGTTTTCATTTTTCACATTATATTATTATTATTATTATTATTATTATTATTATTATTATTATTATTATTATTATTATTATTTAGGTATTTAAAGATTTTGTAAAATTTTATGTTTTAGAAAAATTTGAAAACAAAACCAATGGTATTACCCCTCGCAGGTAATTTTATAAATTCATACATTCATTCATTAGTAGATATCGTGTCTTGTTTATTTATGGAGGAAAATATAAAATTAATTTTCTTTGCTTTTTATTTTGCATCCTCTTGATTTTAGATGGTTGCATCAAGCAAATCCTAGATTAAGTGATTTGATAACAAAAACATTGCAAACCAAAGAATGGTTAAAGAATTTATACTTATTAAAAAATTTAGAAAAATATGCCGATGATTTAGATTTCAGGAAACAATGGAGAAGTATCAAAAGTACAAATAAGGTATATATTTTAGTATAATATAATATCATAATATATTTTATATATTTTGCGCATACACACATATTAGTAACTCTTATTTATAATAATGTGTAAAAGGCTCGTTTGGCTAAGCATATTGAAACTCATACTAATATAATAGTAAACCCAAATGCCTTATTTGATGTTCAAGTAAAAAGAATTCATGAATATAAAAGACAATT